TGATTTCACTCACATAGGGAAGATACGCAAACACACGGATAAAGAGGACAGATTAGTGGTTACCAGAGGGGAAGGGGCTTGGGGGCTGAGTGAAAGAGGTAAAGGGGCACATATGGATGGCAATGGATAAAAGCCAGAGTAGTGGCGGTGAGCACGATGCAGCCTATACAGAAAGTGATAAATAATAAGGTATGCTGGAAATGACCCAATGTTATAAACCATTATGGTCTCAGTAAAACAATTAGAAAAAGGAGAGGTATACACTGTGGAGGTGAGAGGATAATGTGGCAAGATGAGGGGTCCAGAGGGCTTAAGGAAAAGACAGAGAAACAGCATGCAAATATACTTAAAACATCATTGTTTTAAAGCCCTAAATCCTGTTTGGAAAGAGAGTGTGAGAAAGCAAATATAGAGGATCAGCCTAAGTCCCTATTTTCTCCTGCTCTTCAGATATTAGTGCTCTGACCCTCTGAATGATGCTAGGTGATGCCGTGGTCCCTGTGGATTCCATGAGGCCCACTTTGGTACAGACATATAAAGGCGGCAGTTTTATGCCCTCAAATTGCAGGAGCAAAGCAGTGAACACAGCATTCTGGAGGTCACCATTTGATTGACCGTTTCTAGGGTTTTTTTATGGGATGGCTATTGTGCCAATCTGCTGCCTTATCTCAGTCCCTTTTAGAAGAAGAAAAGGAGAGAAGATGAGCAAGCCATGGATCCGAGGGAAATACAGTAAAGGAAGGACTTGGGTTGAAGAGAAAGGTGTCACCTGGTAGTCAGGCTCTTTTCAACCCAGCACATACAGCAAGATGGCAACCATCCAAAGTGGAACCGAGCAGGCAGTTCTATGACTCAGGGAAGGTGGAAGATAGGAGGGGTCTTCTTCCCCAATCAAGAGAGAGGGCCTTGGACCACCAGTTGGGGAATCGCCTAAGTCTCCCCCTGCCATAAGTCCCCGACACTGAGAGCTAAGGCCGGACCTTGTGAGTCATGAGCACCTAATCCAGAGAGGAGATCCTGGTTCAGGAGATTTCCTGTCTCCAGTGTCCCTGTCAGGCCAGTTCTGGATGGATTTGCATTTTGTTTGGGAAATTCTGGGACAACCCAGTTTTTGGCAGTTGCACTTCGCCCTGGGCTGGGCGTCAAGCCCTATAAAGAGGTGCTCTGCTGCACGACTGTCATCCTCCTGGTACTCGAGTCCCGACCTCCTTTGGAGAACGTGGTGAGTGTGATTTCTTCCGTTGATCTGTTTTGTGGTGCTCTCAGATGTTGAATTTAGTGTGCAGACAGCAAGTTTGTTGAGTCCATAGGTATGATGGTGGGTTTGATGCTACTTAGGTGATGGAAGCTTAGCCTTGAGGCACAATGATATCCTGTCTTGATTCATGTTTCGGTAGCTTGTTTGAGGTCGTGTATGGAAAAGCAATTCACAGGAAAGGTTTGAGATGAAGAAGAGGAAAGACCAAAGTATTTTTCTCTCTGCTCTGTCTCTTTGATTTCCCTTTCCTCCCGCTGGGCTTTCCAAGGCTTAGTAGGTGTGAGGCCCTTGCATTTTTCTTGCTGGCCGTTTGCTCTGTACCTAACTCAACCTATGGGGACTTCGGAAGAGATCCCGATGATAGTAATTGCTTGCGAGTTTTCCCAGGATTTCAGAACTTCTGATGGCCTTTCATGAAGATGATATTTTCCCACAGAAAACATGACTTGGTTCTTGCAGAGATATTTCCTTTGAAAAAATGATATGAGCAAAGAGAGGATTTTCTCAGGACTGATGAGGCAGTTGGCTAAAGAGGAAGCAGGGTGGTGGAAGGCGCAAAAGAGGGAGTTGAGAGATGAAAGCCCAGTCTTGGAAATGGGAGAGGGAACATCTCCTGCTATTCTATCAGCCGCGGTTTCTCTCTCTGGAGGAGTCCCTTCTTGCGAACACTGTCTCTAATTTCTTTCAGCTCCGAAGACTCCAGAAAGATGTCTTCTCAACAGCAGCAGTGCAAGCAGCCCTGCCAGCCCCCTCCTGTGTGCCCACCTAAGTGCCCAGAGCCGTGCCCGCCCCCAAAATGCCCTGAGCCGTGCCCACCCCCACAGAGGCAGCAGAAATGCCCTCCTGTGCAACCTCCTCCACCATGCCAGCAGAAGTGCCCGCCCAAGAGCAAGTAACAGCTTCAGCAGCATCAGGATCTGGAAAAGAGAAGGACCATTGGCTCGCCTGCTTCCACAGCTCCACCTTCACCTTCTCTTCCGAGCCTATCATGGTGGCAGAAGCGGCTCCTCCACCCTTCAGCCTGGAAAATGCCTGTGTGACCCCTGACAGCAAAAGGGTTCCTTCCTGAGGCTGTCACACTGCTCCTCTCCGGGAGGGAGCTGAGGAAGGGCATCCTCAGCTGTGCCAGCATCCCAGAGCTTCAGGAGGAAGAGCAG